ATCACGTCTGACGAACCCGGCGCAGCGCCCAAAACACGATGTACCAATGCGCACCACACGTCCTGACTGTGCGAAATATACGAATGAGAGGTTATTGGGTGAGATGACGCAGATGGGTGATGTGGAAAAAGCGGCCGTGTATTGAATGCATCGCGACTTACCCGGACACCTCGGTTCGGGGGAAATCCTCGGTTGTAGCTGGTCGGCGCCCTTAGAAGGCTGCTCCTGCATCGCCAGCAGTCGTGGTCGAGGTGTCCTCTCCGCCCGCACTCGTAGCATGTCCGCTGCGTGCCACCTCCGTACACCGCGGGACGACGTAGCATGTCCACGTGTGGCAATCCGACCGCCACTGCAGTCGGCGGCGTCTCCTCCACCGTGCTCCCGGACGCGGTGGCGCTCACCATCAGAGGCTGTGCACCCGCTACCGCTGGCTCGTCGCGGAGATTCAGGTTGACTTGGATGTTCCTGGCGATCTGTAGAGTAACAAGGAGTCCAGGGCCTCCTGGTCCGTCGCCGGGTATGCTGCCTGTGTGAGGGCCAACAGCGCACTGCGGAACGCGAGGGGGGATTCCGTGCCCTCCCGCTTCCTTTGCTGGAATCTACGTTTGGCGACTGACCGCGGCTCATACACCTTTCGCATCGCCGCGAACGCCCCATCCAGCGTCGACCGGACGGCGGCAGGAATTCCATTAAACGTCGCCAATGAATCGTCGTCGAGGGCAGTCGGCAGTGCCCGCAGCGCGTCGCTCAGTCCATTCGAGTGATTGATATGCCGCTCGGAACCGTCTCGTAAACGCTGTCCAATCGCCAACTTTGGCCTCAAATCGTTGGACGTGAAGTCGCCGTCCCGCTCTCGATGGTGGTGCTCCATCGTCGTCCGATTCAGCTGGCCATTCACCAGAAGGTGCGGGTCCATCGTCGGCGCGTTCCAATGCCGCGGGAACAGCTGCCGGACGACTTGACACCGTCGATAGCACCCACTCCGTCGTCATAAAGCGGTCAAATGCCTCCGTCAACATCGCCAGCCTGACCTCCCACTGGGCCATGAGGACTCTCCAGTCACCCATCGGCCCCGGGGTCTCGGCCCCGCTTGAGCCGCCATCCCGCTCTGCAGACACTTGCTCGACCAGGTCCTCCGGAGGAGTAACAGCCACTTGGCCCGACACGGGAATCGCGTCCACGTCCTTGCTGTCGGACGAGTCCGTCGGCACGTTCTTCCTCTTGGCCGATTTCTTCAACATGTCGGCGTGGTTTTGTAGTCACCTCTGACACCAAATGTAGTGGTTGATTTCACTCGGACAACTTTTGTCTTTCTTCTAACACCACTTTATTTACAGTTCTCTACACGTTCTCAATGCTCCACAGTCCCCTGTTGCCGCAGCTCGCTCGCCGTGCTTCACTCGACTCGCTCGCCATCTTTGTCTCTCCAATCTCCACTTCTCCATCAGCTCCGATGTCTCTGTGCTTCCCCCACTGCTGGCTGCTTCGTCTCTGCTCCCCGCTCTCCGCTATCACTGTGCTCTCTCTACTGCTGGCTGCTTCGCCTCTGCTCTCTACTATCACTGTGCTCTCTCCACTGCTAACTGCTTCGTCTCTGCTCTCTACTATCACTGTGCTCTCTCCACTGCTAACTGCTTGGTCTCTGCTCTCTACTATCACTGTGCTCTCTCCACTGCTAACTGCTTCATCTCTGCTCTCTACTATCACTGTGCTCTCTCCACTGCTAACTGCTTCGTCTCTGCTCTCCGCTATCACTGTGCTCTCTCCACTGCTAACTGCTTCGTCTCTGCTCTCCGCTCTTCGCTATCACTGTGCTCTCTCCACTGCTAACTGCTTCGTCTCTCCTCTCCGCTCTTCGCTATCACTGTGCTCTCTCCACTGCTAACTGCTTCGTCTCTGCTCTTCGCTATCACCGTGCTCTCTCCACTGCTAACTGCTTCGTCTCTGCTCTTCGCTATCACTGTGCTCTCTCCACTGCTAACTGCTTCGTCTCTGCTCTCCACTCTCCGCTATCACTGTGCTCTCTCCACTGCTAACTGCTTCGTCTCTGCTCTCCGCTCTTCGCTATCACTGTGCTCTCTCCACTGCTAACTGCTTCGTCTCTGCTCTTGGCTATCACCGTGCTCTCTGCACTGCTAACTGCTTCGTCTTTGCTCTTCGCTATCACTGTGCTCTCTCCACTGCTAACTGCTTCATCTCTGCTCTCCACTCTTCACTATCACTGTGCTCTCTCCACTGCTAACTGCTTCGTCTCTGCTCTCCACTCTCCGCTATCTCTGTGCTCAATCCACTGCTAACTGCTTCGTCTCTGCTCTGCGCTCTTCGCTATCACTGTGCTCTCTCCACTGCTAACTGCTTCGTCTCTGCTCTCCACTCTTCACTATCACTGTGCTCTCTCCACTGCTAACTGCTTCGTCTCTGCTCTTCACTATCACTGTGCTCTCTCCACTGCTGGCTGCTTCGCCTCTGCTCTCTGCTATCACTTTGCTCTCTCCACTGCTAACTGCTTCGTGTCTGCTCTCTGCTATCACTGTGCTCTCTCCACTGCTAGCTGCTTCTCTCTTCAGCTGCTCCACGTCCTGCCTCGTCCAGCCCCCGACTCCAACTCCCCGTTTCTCCTCGCGTCTCCCCCAATTTGCCCCCGCTCTCATCACACCCCAATTAATTAACCCGCAGTCCCAACTACGCTCCGCGTGCCCGTGCGCCTGTTACCTCGCCAGACTTCAAGACGCCACCTCAGCCCTGACAACCACACCAGCCACTCACAGCCGTCCTTGGCTCCCCCCAGCTTAATTGGCACAATCGTTACCTCATCGTCCCAATATGACCCCTACTGTCCTGCTCCCGCGCAATCTCACCAATTACCCCCATGCGCCTATTTATTCCACTACACATGCATTGAGTAATTGACGTTCTTTCAATCACTAATTCAGAGAAAAAATATAATGAGATTCAATGTACCTTCATTGTTCTAGATTTGAAGTTTTCGTGACTGCAATGAGCCATACTCTTTGGTTCTTTCGGTAAAGTCACGTAGGTAAAAAATAAAATAAAGTTAATCAAATCACGACGTTTTAGAAGCAACACAAGCCTCAGTCATCAAGTGGGATAGTCACAGCAAGAAGTAATTTGCTGTAGTGTAATAGAAACGTGAGAATTTTAATTTTTTTATTATTTTATTATTTCCCTGCTACGTGACTTTACCGAAAGAACCAAGAATATATTTGTGTTATTATTTACTTAACTAGGATGAGATCCCGATGAGATTCATCCTCTAACAATTAACGTCCTTTATTTAACCAAGTGAGAGAGAAATCATCTTCTGAGATGCATTGCCTCTTGTGACTGATGATGTAAATCGGTGTTCTTCACGAATTTTCAAAGACGGAGGGGGTGGGGTGCAACTTTTACCGATAAGACATCATCAGTGTGAGGGCCGCTACGATGATGGGGGGGGGGGGTGTTTTCACTTTTGTATATTGTTGGGGACAACAATATACAAAAGTGAAAACTTTTGTCTGACCTCTGCGATTGCCAACAAGGGTTTTGCCACCAAGTACTAAGTCATGTTTTGCAGAGGGGTCAAATACTTATTTCCCTCATTAAAATGCAAATCAATCTATAACATTTTTGACATGCGTTTTTCCGGATTTTCTTGTTGTTATTCTGTCTCTCACTCTTCAAATAAACCTACCATTAAATTTATAGACTGATCATTTCTTTGTCAGTGGGCAAACGTACAAAATCAGCAGGGGATCGAATGCTTTTTTCCCTCAACTGTAAACTACAATTTCACACGTTCAGGCTGCGGTCAAGCCGGGTAACCGCGTCTGGAGCCGGCCGAGTGCTGCTTCGTCGCTGCGCTGTCTCATTCCTGTTCGTGGTCTGCGTGTATCGCGACCGTCACCCGTTGTTGTACGTTCTGTTCCGTATGACCACGGTCACAACGCTAGCTCGCCTTGCAATGACGGCCACGGCTGACGGTATAGAATCTATACCGTGCTCTGCGGACGTTTTACGTCGGGGCACTTTTAAATTTGCCCGCAAACTGAACCAGTTTGTTAGTATTCTTAGTTCTTTCGGTAAAGTCACGTTGAAGGGAAACAATAAAATAATAAAATATACATAAAACAATAAAAAATTCTCACGACGTTTCGACCATAACACAAACGGTCGTCTTCAAACCGACACACCTGATGACGACCGTTTGTGTTATGGTCGAAACGTCGTGAGAATTTTTATTGTTTTATATATATTTTATTATTTTATTGTTTCCCTTCAACGAGACTTTATCGAAAGAACTAAGTATATGAATTACTGCAGTCACGAAAGCTTTAAATCAAAATTCAGTTTGTTAGTTTTAACACGTAGGCTTTCCCGACCGATATCATCCATAATACAGACTTTTTGGGCGAGATCGCGTAAATATATAAATGCGTCGTTAAAGCCGCCACAAGCCAATCAATAACTTTGTCACGCGAACAGAACGTGGCCAATTCGTGACTAGTACGGCGCACCGGTGTGTTGCAGAGCAAAGCCACAACATATTTAAGGAACGAAACAGGAGAACCAGAGAGCATGGATTCCTGCAGTCACAAAAGCTTCAAATTTAGGGAGGATTTCTCCACAAATCTGGCTGCCGCTTGATGATGCCGCCTGTTAATTACTGGCGAAACGTCGGACTCCGTTTGGACTTTCTCTCCCGACACACCGGTGTTGCTGTACTTGTAACGAATTGGCACGTGCTGTTTACCAGACACACCTTACTAATTGGCCGTGCCGGGTGCCGGCGGGTTTCACGACACATTTATATTTACGCGATCTAACCCAAAAAATTGTATTTAAAACACTCGAATATTGTGAATAACCAGAGTTTGAATCCCTGATTAATGGGGGGGTGGGGCACCGTAGTTCCGCGCATGCGCACTGAGGCGCGCATAACGGACCCCAGCCCCGCCCCCCCGCACAGTCAGCTTGCCGTACATTTCCTAGTTCGGATAAGCGAAGCCCGACCAATGGGCGCGCGCTCGGCGGAACTCGAACCCCCACGCAACGGTCGCGCGAACCAATGGGCGCGCGTGCACGGAGAATGGTGGGGAGGGGTCGCTGCCTACCCCCCCCCACCACCAACAACCGTGCGCGTGAGCTGTGGGAAATCTAAAGCGTGGTTTGTCGAGACGGTGGTGGAGGAACCGTTATCATGGGGAAGAGGAAGGCCGATCTGGGCCGAGCGCTTCGGGCACGGCTCAAGGCGCGCATGGAGAGGTCCTCGGGCTACGACTCGACGTGGGACACGAGCGACGAGGACGAGGCCGCGCAGCAGACGGACTCGAGGCCTAAGAAGGCGGAGGTTACAAAAAAAAATAATTCGCGTTGTACGCGCACCTCCCCCACCAACCACCACCACTCGCCGAACCATGCTTTGGTTGCAGCGCTTGGCCTAGCGCAGGCTTTCCCGGGGACGTTCTCAGGAAACGCCGCAAGGGTCGGGGACACCATGTGGGATGTTGACGGGGGTTTCATTGGTGTTTGCATTTATATTCTTTGGTGTCTTTCGGTAAAGCCACGTAGATAGAATAAATACATCATTTTTTTGTTGCCGATGCATTTAAACAAAATTGTGAGTTTTTATTATTTGGTACTTGTCATACGAAGTGCTTGGGCTGCTATGGTTTAGAATTGTTATGATCGAATTTGGAATGTGTACCTGACCTCGTCATGATAATGTGGAATTTCCATGTCTTGACTCGGCGCCTTTAATACAGATAGGCGAACGGGCAGACAGGTGTGACTTTGGAAAGGTATTTTTGGTGCACTGTTGAACATTACTCGAGTGCAATTCCTGTTATTTTGTAATGATTTAATAACGGTTTCCATCGTAAACACCCACTAACTGGTAATTTGTTAGTAACATTTTAAACAATCTATTTAATATACTATACGCTTGTGGAACATAAATGAAATCGTTTCTTACATTATTGTGGTTATAATTATGCTTCATGGATAGCAGATTCTAGAATTTTACTAATTATTAAAATGCTGTTAACTCGTAAGACTTTAGTACGTAATTTATTGCACAGAATAAGGAGAAGAAGCTTTTTTTTGTAGTGACCAATAAATAAAGTTTTTATTTTATATATACGGGTAATCCGTGTAATGAAAAAGACAAAGTTCCTGGTTATATTGGCACACCAGTACATTTTTTAATAATACAAATTAAAAAGAAGTGTCATTGTAAAATAATATTGAGATAATTGGCGGTATGTAAGAGCAGAAGTAAGTATAGATTACAATAGCTGTACAAAAAGTATAATCGTCATTGCCCTGCTTCAGGTAATTTATATTTATTGTTTTAAATTATGTATTAATTGTGTATTGTCAAATTTCTTTAACTTAAACATTCTGTTTTAAGATGCTTGTCATAAATCTAAATGGGTTAAAATACACGTCCAATTTTATTGTTACATTAATTTTAAAGCACCGATAAAACCGACAAGGAATTGTAAATTGGTTGTGTTTTTAAATTGTCATGTTTACTTTATTTCAGTCGATATTTCTAAGTGTTAGAATTTTCGCTTACCTTTCAGTTAATGTCATTTTTACAGACAAGCTTTTTTTGACAATTTTTCAAGATTCAAAAGTTAAAATGAAGTTCTTGAATTCAATAAGCAGATATGTAAATGACGAGAAAATATATCAACATAAAAAAATAATGTAGGCCAGAAAAGTAAAAAACACGTGCAAAATGTGTACCAAAAGCCTTTGTGCTTTCTGCAAAAATAATAAAAAACTATCGTGAAGAACTGCATTTTGGTCATCTTGTTTTAGTTCACTTTCAAAAATGCCTGTCAGTTTGCTAATTTATTTCGATGGTCACCTAAGACAAGAGGACCACAGTGCATTAATTCAGAAGCTGCTGATGTTTTTGTTGTATAATGGAGAAAGGCCGAGTGACTTTTGTACGTTTCTATGTATATTTTGAAATTCAATCAATTAGCGGACAATTGAATAACTACGACAGTAAATTACTGCTACAATACTTTTATCAGTTGTCAAAGTGTCCCAATTTTTTTGAACAGTGCTTTTCACCTTTAGTGGCCCAGAGCCAGTGATGGAAATAACACATTCCTGTAATGTGGGCTATTCTCTTTATAGAACAACCACTGCTGACTTCCACAAAGCGGTACCTATTTTTATAGACTCTTTTGTGATGGTATTCGCTCACTGTGTGCCATTAACGTAAACAGCTTTTCCAATTATGCTTTAAATTATTAACATATATTTGTTGTCATAAATGTAAACCTGAATTGTAAAAAAAAACATCAACAATCATGAAAATTCGATTTAATGTTGAAAGAAGTTCGATTTGGTATGTGTGATAGGTCAATTCATGATGCTAATCTGATCCATATACGTGGCAATAAAGAAATCAGGGAAGGTTTCTACATCATAAACTAAAATAACACTTGAGTCCATCCATTAGTGGACCTTCTGGATCATTATTTTAAAGCCCTGGTTAAACATGGCAATCCCTGAATTGATTTCAGCTTCTCGCTGTTTCATGAGCAGAGTGTGACCTAAAAGGGTTATTTTGTACAATGTTGATGTTCTCTGCTGAACATGACAATGGGGACCCACAATGGCGTTTGTCTAAAAACTGGGCAACCCAGAAGTAGCATTTAATTGGCCACACCCTGTTGATGAGACTTAGTGAAGTTGAGACCAGTTCAGCACGTGATTTATTTACTGGCCATAGCGTTGTGGATAAACTCAGGATATTAACGTAATCTTGAACCCTAAGCTCGGCCTGAAATTTACACCTTTCCACAGAGGACCTTGTGTGGGAGAAGCGTGTTTGCAGCAAAGGATCTGCAGCGGTATCGACGTAACTATCCGGTAAGGGCATCATATATCACTGTGCCACTTGACGTTGCAGAACTAATGGTATAGCACTGGAACAGGAGGGTCTACTTTAATAGTATCTCAGTTCCTCAACATGTTGCTGAATTCTCAATTGTGTTTCGTTTACAACTGCAGCAGGGAACTGGCTTTTGCGGTAGTCGGCATGCCTGCAACAAAGCCATTTTATAAGGTGTCAGAAGTTTAGTTATCTTTGCACTTTGGTAATATTTGTAGGGAATTGGCCATCTGTTTTAGGATCCATATACCTGTCAACCACTTATCAATGCCCTACCTTATTACAGACCAATTCAGACCTGATTTGTCACCCCATGTTCTTATACATCTCAACGTTCATCCTACAAAGTTCCATCACAGCAGAGAAACACAAACATAGACAAACACATTTTTGCCCGTACTGAAACGGCTGTACGGCGTATGAACCTAAAAACTCAATTTCCCTGTGCAAGAATATGGGTAAACTGTATGGATTGACGGGTATAGGTCCATGTTAAAGGTGCTTTCACTTTTTTGGTTAATGCATGTGTAGTGAGTCCAATTGAGTCGCAGACGTTATCTAGGGAGCAACACTATTCATTCACACAACAGCACGAACATAACACAACCTATGCTCGGGTCTCGAATGCCCATCGAACCACGCTACGGCAGAACTAGACACGGTTCGCTATCCTGGTCTGGACCACAAGCTGGGTCCCGGACTGCATGGCTAGAGGCTTCTTCTCCCCGACGTGGATCTTCGAACACCAACACTTGAAGAACCCCCGAGCTCCTCACGGAGCTCTTGTTATATGCTCCCGGAGTGGGGCTGGCTCAGCCCTTAGACCCGCCCACCTTCCAGGCTCCTCGAGCCCCTTCTCGAATGTTCCCGAGAGCTCTCCGGGACCACGTGACCGCCCCTCGGCCTCCGTCCACAGGTGGCCCCGCTCCAGTATTGTCCGGTCATGTGACAACAGGTCAGCCAGAGTATCATGCCCCAGAGTAAGCCTGGCTGGCTGACACTCGCTCTCGCTCCCTCACTGGGAGCCGGCACCGTACACTGCTCGCGGTGCCTCCGCGCTAACCACCGCTCACCCAACCACCGCTAGTGTTGGTACTGCAGCCTGCAACCCGGGCTGCCCGCAATGACAATTACCGGCCGTGACTTCGCAATTCCCGGCAACACACAGTGACAAGTACAATCACTACATCACTCCCCCCTACGTAGCTTCCAGCTGTCCCGGCTGCTAATTCTCCCCAAGCAAGCAACCGACGTAAACTAACATAACCAACAAGTGTGCTCCAACAACATAACAAGGCAACAATAAATAACCCAACCCAAATGTACAATATATACACATGACAACAAGACAAAAAAACAACCGGTCAAACCGACAACCGCGGCACACAAAATCCCCACAACCACCATCTCCCACCCTCAATGTGTAACAACGCTCGTGAGCTCGATGGCAAGCAGGATCAGCCAAATACTGTCCATGACTCACGTGAGCGCGACAGCCCATGACGGTGTGGGAGTGTGCAATGTGTGGGATCATGCAAAACGAGTCTTTGAGCGAGTCCGTGACGCCAGTCCTCCAGACGGGTTGGGCTCGACCGCCTTGGGAGGGCCGGGGGGAGCAAGAAATCGACCCGACGAAGCCGGCTCCTCACGCAGAGCAGTAGTCCAGGTCGTTGGGTCCTTGGCCTTCCGAGCCCGCGAGGCCGACACGAGCAGCCGCGTGCGAGGCATCAGTTGCGTGGCGCCTGGGGGCGGAACAGAAACAATCTCCTGAGGACCCGCGTCGGCAGACGCACGCCCCAGCTCGTCGGACACACCCGACACTCGGCCCCTTCGTTATGGAGAAGAAACAAACTCGCACGGCGTGATTAATGGTTTCAGGCCAAAAAGGTGCACAAACCAGCTCCGCTTAACAAACCGAACCTGGACACATTGGGGCCTCACGACCCGAACGACATCAACCGGCCCTCTTCAAGGTTGCAGCAATTTAGGTGACGTGCCCACTGGCACCTGCGGACAATGCAACCAGGCCCTGTCACCCGGCGACCGATTGTGCAGGGAAACACGGCCACCCTTGAGCCGCTTGTTGCCAGCTGCCTGGCCCGAGAATTAACGCTGGCGGCTTCCCGCGCCTCAAAAAGTTTGCCCATTCTGAGGTGCAACAGCCTTTTATGCACAGCCCACACGACCTCGCCCCGCAGGGCGGTAGGGACAACAATAGCATAACGGCGCAATCCTCCATCCCAATACATGAGCAATCTTCCCCGCAGCACAAACAAATTCACATCCCATGGTGTTTCACCATCGGCGGTCACCCTGACACGCCGGCACAGCTTAAGGAGGGATGAATCTTCCGCCTGTCGACGTCCCCATACCTCATAATCAAGACCCAAGGTAGCATCACGCGCGACAGGGACGTCGCCCGTCCCCTCAGCGGCGTTCGTAGCAGACGCAACGAGAGGGGAGGGGGAGGTCGAGCCGCATGGCCGACAGCGACCCGAACCCGAAAAACATGCGCACTCCCCGGGCACTGGCAATCGCGAGAGTGCATCGGCATTTGAATGGCGAGTACCCTTACGATATGTGACATTGAACGAAAAATCCTGTAGGATTTCAAGCCAGCGCGACAATTGGCCTGAGGGCTGGTCCACACGCAACGCATACTGGAGCGCCGCATGGTCCGAGCGCACTTCGAAGTGCCGCCCGTACAAATACGGCCGATACTGCTGCACGAACACGACAATGGCCAACAGTTCCCGGCGCGTAACGCAGTACCGCTGCTCCGTCGGAGACAGCACCCTGCTGCCATACGCAACCACGTGCTCCACGCCATTAACGCTCTGAGATAACACGGCACCAATGCCGGTATTACTACCATCCGTGTCCAAGATGAACGGCAGTGAAAAGTTGGGGAGGAGCGTTAACAAGGCCATCGCGAATGGAGCAGAATGCAGCCTCCTCCGCCTCCCCCCAATGAAATTTCTGGGCCTTGGCCGTCAGGGCGTGGAGGGGTTTAGCAATGGACCCGAACCCCGCAACAAATCGGCGATAATAAGTGGCAAAGTCAATAAAACTGTACACCTCGGTAGCCGAGGTGGGTGTCGACCACGTCCGAACACAAGCAGTTTTCTCGCAATGCCCGATTCGCTATGTGGCCCAAGTAACGGACAGATTTTAGGAGCAGATGACATTTGTGGGGCTTGAACTTCAAGTCGGCGGCACGCATCTTAACAAAAACAGCCCGCAGGCGATCCAAATACTCATCAAACGTGCGGTCGAAAACGATGACGCCATCGAAATATATCAGGCACAAATCCCACTGGAGGCCCACCATAAACAATTCCATCAGCCTCTGAAAAGTGGCAGGCGTGGAATGCAGCCCCATCGGAATTCGGTTGAACTCAAACAGCCCTTGGGGCGTCCGAAAAGCCGTCTTGGGCCTCGAGGCATCGTCAAGCGGAAATTGCCAAACCCGGACAAAAGGTCGAGGGTCGAAAAATACCGCACGCCTGCCAGAGCGTCCATGCGAGGCAGGGGGTAGGCATCCACGACTGACACTTTGTTAAGTTTCCTGAATTCGACGCAAAACCGCAGAAAGCCGTCGTGCTTCTTAACAAGGACAATCGGATCCCTCCATGGACTGGTGGACGGCGAAATGATATCCGCGGCCAACATTTAATCCACCGCCACACGAACATGGTCCTTCCTAGCCGGACTCAGGCGATAAGGATTCTGTCGAATGGGGGCAGCATTACCCGTGTCAATATGGTAGCTCAATAGAGATGTCCGACCGATATCAAATTTTGACTTACTAAAAATGTCGGAAAATTCCCACAGGAGCGCCCTTAGTTTCCGCGTTTGGCCCGTGGACAAATTGCCGTATTCCTAACATAATTTGTCGATCCATGCCTCATCGATCACAAGAGGTCCGTGAGATTGAACGCCGACCCCGACATTTCCCACAACATCCGCTTTCGGACACGCCGGGGACGCGTGAGCGATCACGGAACCCTCTTGAATAATCGTAGTGTCAGACCCGGTGTTAAGGATCTGTATAAACGGCGGCTGGTCCTGGGAGACCAGTGTCTGCGCCGCAACCAGCGAAATCTCTCGACTGATTTTATTCGAGGGACCCAGCACAATGCCGTTACTCACGGCATGCGCATCGAGCGGTTTTCGCAAACGAAGAGGCACTAGCATTTGAGCACCGGGGGGGGATCCGCACCTTGCGGCATGTAAGTGCCTGTACCGTAGCATTAGCAACATTAATGCGAGTCTGGGATGGAAGAAAAGCCATACGCCGTCCTGACGGCAACTCCAAACATCCCTGATCGATACGAATTTTCAGGGGCATCTTGCCGAGAAAGTCAGTCCCCAGCAGGCACGGGACAGCCAGGGTCGTGGAAACCAACACGTGGCCCGACAATTGGACATCGGCAATGCGCAATGCAACAGAGATCCGACCTATTATCCCCAATGAACCGCCATTAGCGGCGAAACACGGAGCATCTACCGGCTCTAAAACGCGACACCGGCGTGGCAAAATGTTATAAATCAACTTGGATATAATGGTCGAGGACACACCAGTATCCACAAGCATGCGCACCCCAACACCCTCAACAAACCCGAGCACGGCCGACGACCCCGCGGTTGCCGCGACCACACGACCTGCCAGCTCCGAGCACTGTTCAGGTCGGAGCGGCCGCACGTCGCGAACACGACCCGACTCCTCCCGAACACGCGCGCGACCCCGACACACACCGGACCCCCCCGATGAATGAAGGGAACCCCAGGGCCGAGTGTGAGGTGCACCGCGACTCGCTTTGGGGGGGATGGAGTCATAGGAAGGCGGATGTCTCAAGGCCCGCCGTCGAGGAACCTGGCAGCCCGACTGGACATGCCCCGGCAGGCCGCAGTTGTAGCAGGTGACCGTCCGTCGCTGGAACGGGACGAAGCAGACCTCACCCGCCGCCGGTCGTCC